TTTCATTTCAACTACAACCGTTTTTCAAATTTGTTGTTTTTTCCTCTTCTTTCTTGCATTATTCCTTGTATTCATCAAATTTGAAGCGGGGAAACCATATATTGCACATCGTTTTGTTCCTCTTTTTGTTTTACACAATTTTCATATGGGATTGTAAGATTATTGATTTGTAATATCGTTTATCGTGGTGGAGAAAAGTTATGGTCTCGGTGCTGGTCCTGGAGATGATTTATGTAGTTGGGTACTATTGGTTTAGCGATATAAAACAAAAAAAAAACATTAGGCACAGGGTTTAAACTATGAAGTATGTGATTTCATTAAAGTAATATAAGCACATTTTTTCTTTGAATAGTTGTCTCGTATGCTGTCGATTGTTTTTATTTGAGGAATCGTCTTGCGTTGAAATGAAGTTGTTTTCTTTTAAACTACTTGCAGGCATCAACATTCATTAAAATAAGTTAATATGCATGCATCCATTGCAATTCGCTTCGGCCGAGTGGTTTAGAGCGGTGAGAGTGTGTATGCGTCTAATTATTTTTATTTTATTATATTTGATTCTTGTAGTTTTACGCTGTCGACAATTTATATTGAGTTGATTCATGTAGTTTTGCGCTGGCGACAATTTACAATATTCCAGTTGCCAGCAACAATCAACAGAAAGAAACTTAAATTTTTTTTTGTAGAAAAAAAAAAAGAATCTCTGAGAAATTGCTATCAAAGATTCAACCCATTCACTGATCTTTTGCAAGCAAACAAAATTCAGCTATAACCAAATCTGGAAAAACCCAAATGATTTCTCAGGCTATCCTTTATCCTTCTCTCTCTGGTCACTTCAATTTTAAATATTTTCTGTTGGTTTCCAAGATTTTTTAATAGTAATTTCAAGTTTTCAACCAAAAGAAAACTTCCGATGACCACATTAATGACGTTGGAATAAATGTTTTACGGTAAGTGGGATATGGCTGGGCGTTCGGACAACCAAACCCGAACTGAACCGATATATTCGGGTGGTTCGGTTATCAGATTTAATATTCATTCGGTTTTTTTTTTAAGGATTTCGGATCTGTTCGGATCAGATTATTTCGGTTTCATATCGGTTCAAATATTTCTAAAAACATCCGATTTTAATCCGAAAAAATCAGATATTGGATGTTCGGAAAGTTGTAAACTGAAAATAGTAAAAAAAAAAACCGAAATAATCTAAATAACCAAAAAACCAAATTATCCAACAAATAGCCAATATATCCAAAAATATTTCAAAAAAAAAAATGTGTTTCAATCCCAACACAAACATAAAAGATGAGTGACAATCCAAACATAAACGAAGAGTTCTAATCAAAAACAGAAACATAAAAGATGAGTTCCAATCCAAAAAATACTAAGGCAAAGAAACAAAGTTCCAATCATAAAAGAAAAACCAAATTCCAAACTTCAAACAATACATCTGATACCTGTAAACATACAAAAAAAATTATGAGAATCATTCAGCTTGAGAAGATGAGAATTTGGATAATTCAGCTTAAAAAAAGAAAATAAGAATCATTCAGCTTGAGAAGATATATATTTACATAAAACTGAGACTTGAGAAGATGAGTAGCTTGATTTGGTTGGATATCAAATTCTGTGCATGTGAACAATGAAAAAAAAAGTTAGAACACTAGAATGATATAAGTTAAATAGACGAATAATGAAAATTACCTCTCATAAACTTGTCTTCATATTCAATTCGGACATGATTTGTTCCTTTGTAACCATAGTCCAACATCATTGCATCAAAGATCTTGCTTCATCCACTGCTCTGTGCACATTAAAACCTCAACCATATAGTGAGTTAGACAAGTTTTATAGGGAGTAATGATCCTACCACATGTGCTAAAAACACTTTCCGAAGCAACATATGACACTTGCATTGCAAGGATATCTTTTGCCATTTCAGTGTATGAGGAACTTGGAAACATTGTATTTCCACCAGTCAAACACACCACATTCTGTTCTAGCCATAGTGATCGGGTTCTCAATAGGCTCCCTTAACTACCTATCTAGTTCATCTCTTGTATCATGCACTCTAGTCTCAGCTACCTTTTCCTTGTATATAGAGTCCATCCTTTCATATCTTAAACCAAGATCATCTTCAACAACTTCCATCTTATCTTGTGAGTGCCCTGAAGAGTATGTTTGATTGGATTGAGAGGATTGCGTCTGAGATGGCAGTTTTTGAGCATACCTAACACTATACTCCTCAAACATTGCACGCAGACCTATAGTCGTTGACTGATGAAGCTCTTGTGCATCAATACTTACAATCTCTCAAAACACATATCAGCCAAATCTTCTTCCTAGGATCAAATAATGAAGCTATAATCAACAGCTTTTTCAAATATTTCATTCTGTCCCAATATTTATCAAACTTCATGAACATCACATCGGCCTCACTCCTCAACTCTAAGTCTGGACTATTTCTGAGGTTCATTAGATCTTTCTCTATTGTCATTATTGTCACTTCCATAACATGCATCAACACAAAGAAGCCTCGTATGACTCAAACTGCTTGTCCACACCAAAAAGCTCTTCATATGAGTCGAATTGTCCAGTACATGCACCAACACCAAGAAGCCTTTCAGATGGCGTTGCTGTGTAAGCATTCAAAAGTTTGGAAGTAAGAGGTGAAAGAGGCTTCCTAAGCATTGGACTTTTTCCTGCAACCGAAAGGTTCTCTGATCTGAGGAGACCAAGAACCTCTGATTTTCTCTTCCCTACACATATTTGACACAAGTTTTTATAGCATTAATCTCTCTTGGTCTTTGTAAAACCAAAATCTTTTGTTATTATTATGTACCTAAAGGAGTTGGAAGAGTTGAATTTTTGCTGCTACTAGTAGTGTTCTCGTCACAGTAAGCCTTCTCAAGCTTCAAGCTTTGATGAAGCATGGCTCCACCAAGAGAGAGTTTTCTGTTCACAGCAGCAGTTACTCCAGTTATCACTGGTTTCGTTCCCCTTTTGTTTGGGCTAGGTTTAGACCCGTAAAGCGCTTCTTGTTCTGTTATGAGTTGTCCATGGAGTTTCTTCCGATCCTGACATGAAAACAACAATCATGCTTTCTGCTCAAATGCTTAAAACTTTGATTAGTAGTAGCAAAGAGCCAGTTTCCCTTAATCTTTGTCTCTGCTTTTCAAGTTCTTTCTCTTCCCATAGAGTCTTGTACTGCTCAAGCATAGTTGAAACTCGAACCTGAAGAACGGAGCTTGATTTTGTGTAAAGTAAGTATGATTAACAGAGTATCAGTAAAGATACTTACACCAGCGTATAAGAATTCGTGGCCTCTTTCGCTTATGATGTGCTTTCTCTATTCACCTTCCTTTCTCATACTAACAACTGTGTTAAACAGGCTCTACAGGCTGCTCATCTTACGATGAATCATGCAGAAGAATCCCAGATTCTTGTCGACAAACTTTCTGGGATGGTGGAGGATTTGACTGCTAAAGTCACTGCTTGGGAGGATGAATCGTTTTCTAGATGAATATTTAAATAATAATTAATATAGAGAGACATTACAATGTTACATATATATATAATAACGTGAGAAAGGTATCAATTTGGTTAAACAAAATAAAAAGTAAAAATCCTCAACGATGAAGAGCCAATCTCAGATCTCTCAAGAGGAACATGCATGTCTCCAACTGTGACAAACTCTCACCATCACCGTCGTGCACGATCACGGAGTTTGATCTAGATCACGAACGCACCAATTGTTAAGATTGAAGATCCAAACTCTATAAATTCACTATTGGATCTTCTCTCTTGAAAACTCTCCTATTATTGATAATATGATAACTTAGATCACATAAGTATCAAAAGATTCCAAGTTTAACCTTGTGGAAATTGGTCGATAGAGAGGTGGAATGGAAGGATATAGAAGTTGATTGATTCTCTCAATCTTGACAGCTTTTGTAAGCATCAAATCAGCCAAATATGGTAAGTTGTGATGATGCTTGAGTCTTGACAGCTTTGGCGTGAAGGTGTGATGTCTTGGGACGTCTAGATTAATTGCAAAAGTCTCCAAAACGTAGCAGCTTAGCAGAAGGAACCATTGAAGAATCACGAAATGTAAACACATTGTATGCACTCGGGTCCAAATAAGGTAAGTGAGTCTTTGAGTGATCCTAACTTATCCTGTAAGATTTGGTGGATCTTGTGACGTCTAGTAGATACTCTTGTTGATGGAGAATGTCTCCTGGACGCCAAAGATACGTTTGAAGTCTCCCAAGCCTGGAATGTTCCAAATAAGGCAAGCCGAAGATTCTCTGGTTTAGAAATTGAATCATTTTCAAACGAAAACCAATATGGGAATGGAATCCATTTTTCGTTGTGCCTCTGATGAGTCAAGAGTCCATACCAAGTCGTTTCATAGCTTAAATATTCCTGGGCCGGTCGAAATCCTCAATTGAATACCCATATGTCCAAAACAGGTAAGTTCAGAATCACCTGACTTGAGAATTGAAATATATCTCCTTTCATGCGAGCTTATATTGGGATAATTACACTTCCAGGCGTGCTCTAAATGAGCTGAGACTGTTCTCTAAGTGGGTTCATACCCTAAATCATTTTGGTTGAGAATGCATCGAAGAATGGGCATAGGTCTGTATCGGCTTCAATAGCACGATAGTAAGGAATCACCCGGTTTGTAAATTTGATTCCGGTTTGGTCCAAGCTGATTTGGGATCCAATTCCGATTCTCCGTGAGTCTCTGATGAGTTGAGTTTCTGAAACAAGTCGGTATGTTGCTCAAATCCTTCTGGTTAGTTCGGTATGCTCCATGAAAGGCATATATGTTCTTGCTGAGTCCTCTCCAACAGGAGCAGTGAGTTTGATTGAACTCTGGTTCAACTACATCATAATAGCAAAACAATTGAGTTCTCAAGGGTTCTTGCGATCGTAGTTTTGCCAATCCCTGAGGAACCTAGGTCTCTAAACAACTCCAATTATGAAATCTGTCCCTCAAAAAAATAAATCAATCGTATATATCTATTGAAACTAAAAAACCCATCCAAAAGAAACAAGAATATTTCTTTATTCCAATCCCTTAAATATCTCTTTCGAAATCTCAAATATGTCAGAAACCATGTCAAATATATCAGAAATTATCTCAATTGCTTGGGAAGTCACTTCGTGAATGCGTTCCACAGAATGCTCCTCCAACACACGCTCGTATCCTGTAGTTATAATGATCCTGCTTCCTGGTCCAAACCACTCGCACTTCCCAGCCAACTCTTGGAGTTGTTCAACGTCATCGACATCATCCAGGACGAGAAGAACCTTCTTGCCACGTAACCTTCGCTTCACTGCATCTTTGCTAATGCACAGTGCATTCAAAGGGGATTTAGGGAAAACCTCAGACATGATCTGCTTCCGCAAATGTGATACACCATGTCTTTGGAGTTCACCACTCACGTCTTGTAAGAAGCAACGAGCAGGAAACTGACTTGAGAGGCCTTCGAAGATATGCTTAGTGATGGTGGTTATGTCTTTGCCATCTACGCCCCAGACTCCTACCATTTGAACATCTTCAGAGTCCATTGATAAGAGAGATTCTATGCAACGCTTGTGGTAACTCAGAACCTCATCCAATTCAGTTCTTTCGTCTGATGGTTCTGGCTCTGAGTATAACCTGTCACGAAGATCTTGAACAACATTCTGTACAAGCTTCGAGTCCTCGTTCCTGCGTCAAGCACAACATAACAGAGAAATCTATATAGTTTCTATCATGGTAGTTTCAAAACTGAAAACTGATAAATTGATGAAAGTAAGAACACAAAAGTGTTTAGGAAGAATTATAATAGTCTTATAAGAATAATATTATAAGTTACATAGAGATAAATCTAAACCTAATGATAAACCTAAATGTAACTAATATATTTAAAGGTAAAGGTAAATTTACTAAACTAAGATATTGGTAAATATCCATAATCTTTTAGATCTTTCTTCATCTTCATGAATTTCATATTCTCACCGATCTCCCAAAAAAAACTCTTTGTCATATAAATTCAAGAATCAAATTTGAGAAAGCAAGACAATGCACCTGCATTTGGAATCCCAGCCAGAGATGTTACCAACGGTAGCCAAAGCACTTCTCCATGGCTTCACCGTCTCCTTACCAAACCTCGGCTCATGCTTCTCAAAAGCTTTGCTGAAACACCCAGTTCGGCTCTTCAAGTTTGATGGGTCGATTTCGTAGAATATAGGGATCAATTGGAGCCGTTTCTTCTCAGCTAAATCGACCATAAGCGAAAGCTCTCTCAAGCACCAATGAGAGTCAGCGTATCCCTCTGAAATCACGACGATTGCGAATCGCGACTGGTTTATCGCTTCTTCGAGTGCTTCCCAAATGACATCGCCTCTCTGAAGATCTCTGTCGTCATGGAAAGTTTTGATTCCTTCTTCGTTGAGAGCATCGTTTAGATGGCTCACCAGTTTTTTCCGAACATCTGCTCCTCTGAAACTGAGGAAGACATCGTACTCCCACAGATATCGAGACAGTGAATTCTCCGCCTCTGTTGCTAAAGAAGCTGCCATGTAAGCAAAAGGAGTCGCACAATATTCGAAGGGAAGTTTTTTTAGCGTGGTGCTGGATCAATTAAGAGAAGAAGCCACCTTACTTCGGATTTGTCTAAAATTTGTGTGTTTCCTAAAAACTCTTGGAAATTTTGGGACAAGAGGCTAGTTGTGTGTATTAAGCTTTTTTATAGGTTTTCTCGGAAGGTCGATTCACTTACGCGTGAGGCTTGAACTGCAAGTTCGACGTTGTTTGTTCCATCGTAATCGTAGCAAGAAATTAAATAGAAATTAATACACATCGTCTAGTTGACCTTTTGTTGGAAGGATCGATTGACTTCAGTGATAAAAATTGCAACGACTTATCTACATCAAAGAAGAAGAAGGCGCGTTTAATTTGACCCCATGAGCTAAGCACGTAACCAAAAACAATTAGGAACACATATAAATAAAATGATTACTAATTTAAAATTAAAATTTGGAAGGCATATAAATAACGAATAACTATTAACTATTGTTAACTATTATTAACTATCACTAATGTTATTTTATAGTTTTTGTTAACTATTTTTCAAATTTACTCTTTATCCAAAAAACAAGGAAATAACTTTTGTTTTTAAACCACTTTAAATAAATTATTCGTATATTAAATAGGGTTATACTAGTCTAACTATATAGTCAGTCATCTGTGGGATGCACAATTTGTACTATATTGTATATATGGTGCACTAAAATGCATTAAAAATGATACTTTTGGTTTTGTTTTCTCGTTTACTAAATATAAAAATATATAGTAAAGTTTAACTCATTTGTATTTACTGTAAAAAAAAACTCATTGTATATTTTTTTATTATAACTAGTAGAAAATAGTGTTTTTTATCAAAATAATTTTATGTGAAATCTATATTTTTAGATGAACATACTCGATTTTTGGTGGAAACCTAAAGAAAAAAAAATCCACAGTGAAATCTACAATGAGTAGAAAAAGCAAACAACAGAGATTTGTAGATGAACATACTTGATTTTTGGTCGAAACCTAAAAAAAAAAATTAAACATTTTAAAATCTACAATTAGATCACCATTCGATTGTTATAATTATTTTCCTAAATATCTAATAATTTTTATAATAATTAGAACCAAAAATTATTTAGTAAGTTACAAATTAAGTAAATATGGTTTCCAAAACCAAAAATAAAGTTAAATTTTAATATTATATTTTGTCACAAACTGTTAATATTTTAGATAAATAGTATTCTCTTGGTTGAAGTGTGAACTTCTTTTTAAACTTAGCAATAAAACTTACTCTCTCATTTTCACTTTTTTAGTGAAACAGTTCCATATACAATTTATATCAGTCAATCATTACTTTTCAAACTAGATAGTAATCTACTTTACTTAGAATGAGATATCTATAATTTTTTTTGTAATATCTAAGTTCAAAAAAAAATATGGATAATAAAAACTTAATATTCTAAAACAAATATATTATATTTTTAAAATGTGCTTCTCAAATAATAATATAAAATAATAATTATCAAACTCAAATTTAGAAAAGATAGATGTGGTACATGTGCTGCATTATTAAATATTCCTTTTCCAATGGCAATATTGTCATAACTCATAACAATGGTGGTTCTTTTTCATCTCCAGTTAACCAGAGGTTCCGTTTCATTACCTGTGGAATCGCTTATCTTCTCAAGTTCCCAAAATAGATCAATCAGAATGTCATGTTTTTTTCCGATTTTACCGTCTCTCTTCTTTAAGCTGAGGAACTCGACACAGCAACCAACTCACTGTTCTTGAAATCCGTTTGTTTACATTTATAATCCTGTCTTTCATTGATGATCTTCTGTTATGTCTCTCCGAGGATTAAATACTTAGACGGCAAATCCGAGTCCACGAGCATTCATCAACTATCTAGAGCTCCGTTTTCTCTTGTATTTCCGGACATACCGAGTGAGAAACCCTTTCAGGAAGTCCATATCACGATTGTGCAACTCAAGTGCTTCCTCTTCAGAGAGGACTCCATATTTTTCTATTGACGTGCCATATAAATCCAACCTTCTCATTTCCCCTGCAACCTGTGGGATCTCAGTGATACTAATGCATCCTCGCAGATAAAGCAACTTCAGCTTTTTCAGGTTTCTCAACGAGTGAGGGAGATTATGGAGCCTCTTGCACTCGGACATGTCAAGACACAAGAGATTCACCTTATCGCCTATCCAAGAGGGCACTTCTTGGATCGGTGTTTCATTAAAGGACAGTATCTCTACTCCATTTCCAAGCAATGGAAATACTGTGATGTTGGGACAACAAGCAAGCGTTAGATGTATGAGTGAGTCCAAACTCCCTATGGTGTCAGGGAGATTCTTCAGTTTCTTGCAATGTGCTAAACGCAGCTCTACGAGCTTTGACAGACGGTCGATCGAATTGGGGACTACTTCGATTGATGTGTAGCTCAGTCCCAACTTTTCAATATCGTTGGAAACTAACGGAAATTCTTCTATATTCGTGCATCCGTCTAGATTAAGAGCTTTGAGGGACTTCAAGTAGATGTTAGGCGGGAGATTCTTGAGTTTCTTGCAATTTATCATGGACAGCGAAACTAACTTATCGAGATGACCAAGTGAAGAAGGGAGCTCAACTAAACTTTCGCAATCACAAAGGCGTAAACTATCGAGATTCCTTGCCTTGGAAAGGTCTGGGATTTCAATCAGATTTCTGCATCTGTTAAGGTTCATGTGTTTTAGACTCCCAAGGTCCTACCTCACAAAAGAAGCAAGATATTTGTTATCTTATCTATCAGTAGATGATCAAAACATAAACTCACAGTAACATTAAAGGAAATGAGAACACATAATAAAAGTAGTACCTGACTTCCGCTCCATAATGTTTCAACTGAGCTATCAAGGAGTATGAGCGTAACCAGATTTTCAGTGTTGAATCGTGAAGGCAATGACTTTAGAGTGTAACCCTCCCAGTGAAGGTATCTTAGTGAAGGGAGGTAGTCAAAATCATCGACCATGCACACTTTGCTCCCTTGAACAGTGAAATTATTATGAATTTTAAGAAATTTGAGATTGATCATCCTCTTAAACGTTGCTGGGTTAATGCAAAGCCCTGTTTCTTCAGCCATGTTGAGCAATATACTTTCAACCTCGATGTCTTTATTTCCCTGTCGAAACAATGTAATAGAGAGAGTACAACAGTCATCAGCACAAGATCACTAAAGAAGCCACAAATCTGCTCTTAAAGTAGGAATATCAAAGAAAACAAATGTTCATGCACTAGAGTTAGCTATAAACTCTCTCTGTCTTACCATATTTTCGGTGAACAAGCCTTTAACATCCAAAAAGTTCCACAGCATTTTACGCTTCCATGGTTTATCCAATTTTCCTTCACAAATGATATCTTTAGCCATGTCCTGAAGTAAATCATGAACCCATAGCCTCGTATTGTGAGACATACTAATTAGAGACTTCTCCATCAGAGTTACTAGCCTTGGTTCAGACTTAATCACAAAAGGGTCCAGTGCCATTATCGCTCGATCCATATATTCCCCGTTGAAACAACCGGAAACATAAAGAAACACAATTTTTTCATGCTCATCGAGAGCATCATAACTTAGTTTTAACCTATTCGAGATAGATTTATCAAGGCTGTTCTTCAGTATACATAGCTTATCTTCCCAAAACGCTATTTTCCGGCCGTATAGAGATGCACCCATGACTCGAAGCGCTAATGGAAGACCACCAAGTTGCTCGACAATATCTAAACAGAGTTCTCTGAATTCTTCTTGTGGCCGATTCATTTTGAAAGCATGCTTACTAAATAGCTTAATTGCTTGGGTAGTCCAAAGAGGCTTCACTTCATAAACGCGTTTCACAGAATGCTCCTCCAAGACACGCTTGTCTCTTGTTGTTATAATGATCCTGCTTCCTGGTCCAAACCACTCGCACTTCCCAGCCAGTTCTTGCAGTTGTTGAACGTCATCGACATCATCGAGGACGAGAAGAACCTTCTTGCCACGTAACCTTCGCTTCATCGCATCAGAGTTGATGCACCGTGCATTAAGGGGGCTTTTGGGGAAGATTTCAGACATGATCTGCTTCCGCAAATGTGATGCACCATGTTTTTGGGAATCAGCTTTCACGTTTTCTACAAAGCAACGAGCAGGGAACTGACTCGAGAGGCCATCGAAAACATACTTAGCGATGGTTGTTTTCCCTCTGCCTCCCATACCCCAGACTCCTACCATTTGAACATCTTCAGAGTCCATTGATAAGAGAGACTCCATGCGTTTCTTATGGAAATACATCCCAACCAGTTCACTTGTTTCGTCTGATGGCTCTGAATCTGAGTATAACCTGTCACAAATATTTTGAACAATCTTCTGTACAAGCTTTGAGTCCTCGTTCCTGCGTCAAACCCAGCACAACAGAGAGATTACTAGCTAAACTCATCATCGTAGATCAAACAGCTAATTTCAAAACTCTTTATCATATGAGTTCAAGAATTGAAATTTTTAAGACAAATTTTTCAAAGAAAGCTTACTTTTTGGAATCCCAGCCAGAGATGTTACCAACTGTAGCCAAAGCACTTCTCCATCTACTCACCGTCTCCTGATCAAATCTCACCTCATGCTTCTCGAAAGCTTTCTTGAAACACCCGAATCGGCTCTTCAAAATTGACGGGTCAATTTCATAGAATACAGGGATCAATTCGAGGCGTTTCTTCTCGGCTAATTCGACCATAAACGAAAGCTCTCTCAAGCACCACTGAGACTCAGCGTACCCTTCGGAAATCACCACGATTGCGAATCGCGACTGGTTTATCCCTTCTTCGAGTGCTTCCCAGATGAAATCGCCTTTCTCAAGATTTCTGTCGTCATGGAAGGTTATGATTCCTTCTTCGTTGAGAGCTTCGTAGAGATGGCTGACGAATTTCTCCCGAACGTCTTCTCCTCTGAAACTGAGGAAGACATCGTACTTCCACAGAGATCGAGAAGATGAATCCTCCGATTCTGCTGCTAAAGAAACTGCCATGGAAGCAAAAGGAGTCGCACAATCCAAGAGAAGCTTCCACCTTAAGCTCGACGAATACTTAGGCTTGAGGCTTTGAGCTGCAAGTTCGACGTTGTTCGTTCGATTGTTAATCTAAATCGAAATTGCACATTCGGATTACGTCATCGTCTTGTTGTCGACATTTTGTTAGAAGAAGCTTTTTTTTTTTTGTCACCGAAGAAGAATCGATTTTTTAGGGATTGAAATTGCGACACTATCTACAGTACATCAAAGAAAGAAGAAGATAGTATGTTTAACTGAACCCATGTGCTAAACACGTGGCAATGAAAAATTGGCCATGAAAAAAACAGTGTCAAACAATAGAATAAGATAGAATTATCTGAAAAAAATATTATTTGAAAAAAAATATTTTGCAAGATGGAATTATTTTATAATGAAAATTTCAAACATATAAACCTTAAAATAACAACTTTACTTAAAACCATAAATTTTCTTTACACACAATATTATGAAAATAGTTAATATCAACAAATAGACCAACACATTATCCCTTAAATTAACTATCATAATAAATTAACATCATCATAGCTTGTCGATACATAATCACAAAGAGAAAAAAAAAACGTTTATATGTTTATATTTTTTATTTCATATAGATTATATAGTTTTCATTCTTTGATACATAGTTTCTATTTTTTTCTTATTTAACTTAATATTTTAATTTTATATTTTTCATTTAAAATTTGTACTTTTTCTTTTCTTTTTTTGTTGTTATTTTTGTTTTCTTGGAAAAATAAATAACTAAAAATTAAAAAGATTATTAATATGGCTTCTCATAAAATTAACACACTGATTTTAATTAAACCAGAAAAGAAATGTGTAGCAGGGAATTAATGGAAATATTATCTACCTAATGCAGAGAAAAGAAACTAATCTTATTTTGTTGAAACTTTTGGCTTAAGTATATGGACCCTAAGTAAATTAACATGAAATCTTGAAAGTTTTATGACAGATCAAGCGGTTTAAAGCCACACTTGCGTTAATGGTGTGTCAATAAACTCACTACATCAAAGATGATTATTAAACTATTATTAATCAAAATGTTCAATAGCCAACAAACAAAAAAAAAATCCTAACTGCATAATGCCCAAATGTGAAGTTTTCTTGCATCTCGTAAATTCACACAAACAACATTAATCAATATATAACATTATTAAACTTTTCATCTTTATTGCATATTAAAGTTTTTGATGAAAAAAGTCTTATAATCAGACGATGGATAACATGAGAAGAACAAATCAAATGGCTTTAACTAGTTGATTGAGTTTGGCCGCTCACGTTGGATAAGCCTACTTCATCTATAGAGCCAGGTAGATTCTCTCTTTCCGCCATTATTCTTTTGGTGGATTCATAGTACGTAGCATACAATATTAACTGAACAAGCCCAAATACACATCCAATTCCATTTGGTATCTGAAAAAAGTCCATTACGAAAACAATTGTAAAAATACTCATTTTATTCAAAAGAAATAACAACAAAAGAAACAACTAGATCAACCATTTAGAGTGAGTTATGTTTAAATAACAAATGTTATATTATTTAAATCATGAATTTTTAAAAAGGTTTTTAAAATTCAGAAACATAGGCTGTAAAATTTCTGAATGTTGCTTAATATCCAGTGTTATTAAACGAGAAAACAAATTAAATGAAATTTTTAAAGTTGTGTTATTAAGGAGTTTTTTAGTTAACAATATCAAGATCCAAACTCCATGGTTTTATGTGAGGTTGTAGATAAATAACAAATTATAACAACTTCTCCAAATCCACTCAAACCCATTAAAAAAAAAATTAAAAATCAAATCATTCCAAATGTTTGGTTGAATACCACCCTTTCAAAATTACAACTCAAAAAAAGAAAATCCAAAATACCATCAAATTGATTGAACCAATACTCAATTGTCTTCTAAGTTACATACACGACTACTACATTCAAACTTCTATTAACGGATTTTTTTTCTTTAAAAATAATTTCTTACCATTGGATACTAAAAAAAAAAACCTTCATTCCATAAAAATTGAGAAGATGACCGGGATCTTTACATTGGATGGGTAGAAAGTACAGGCGAAGTAAAAAATATATACATAGTCATGAGACAAAAAAGAATCTAAAAGAATTCTCTATGCCTTCAACACCAAGGAACAAATCACAGAGACCTAAGAAGTAATTCACATTTACCATTCATAATTCTGTTACCTCCTTTACTTTTAACTAATCCAAGACTCAACTTGTTAAACGACTGTTAGTTCTAATTTGAAGTGGCAAATATTAGGCATTGGCTAAAGTGGAGTCAATATCACTTCCCCATGAAGACTTGAATCAAACCAAATAAGAAGGCAAAGTTAAACCAAGTGTTGTCTTGCTCTTTACAGCTTACAGACCTAAGCCTAAACTAATATCAATATGACCATAACTTTGATTTCCCATCCAAATCTTCTTTGACTCAGTTGAAACCAACTCTAATATAAGCCTTAGCTAACCGCCATGAGAATGATGCAGTTACCAATTCATCAACCAACATCAAGCCAGTAGCAATGGAGAATAGTTTTTTATAGGTGAATCATAAAAATTATTATCATAATATCTATTCTATGATTTTTGTTATTAAATACTGAACAAAGTTTTTAATAGGTGAATCATTAAATTTTGATGAAAGAAAAAGAGAAAAAAATACTCACAGCCATGAATGGGTCAAAACGGCTACCGATATCCAAACACCAGCGTTTAGAAAACCAGCTACCGATATCCAAAACGGCATGAACTCCAAGCTTTTTGTTTTTATTACCGTTTTCTTCAATTTTTTCCACATAATTATTTCGCCAAAAAAACGATTAATTTAAGTTAGAAAGATATACCACCACAATTTAGTCAAAAATAGATTGCCATTAAACTATTTTAAAACGTCATAGACGCACCATTCAACATTAGCTAACAAGAGCGTGTCATAAAACGTACCATGACAGACAATGGAGCAATATACATAATAGTGTTGAAAACGCAACATACGATCCCAACGCTGAAGGTCCTTTGATCGGTAGTGTGTTGGAGAGTTAAAACCAAAACGGCGAGGATAGCTACAAAGACAGCCTCAACCGCTAAAACAACTGCTATTACCAATCGCTGGTTTTGGTGTTCACAGAAAACGAAAAAGATGGTAAGGAAAACGATTGCAGTCACAACCCCTATACCACTTACTGAAACGATCAATGTGCTATCAGGATGCACTATAGGGAGTCCTTAGAGAAGTCGAACCAAACAGTTTATGAGAGTTGCCAAACGTGGCATTGGTGAGTATTTTTCCACTGACTTTTTCTTCACTATCCCTATAATCGTTGGCCTGTACGATTGTGGCATTACATGTAAATAGAATAACTTTTTTTTTAGAAGGTAATCAAGTAATTTTAAATTTTCAACTCTCTCTCCATTTCATTGTTAAAAGTTTTTGCATACAGATTAATTAAGAATCATTTTATTTTTGATTTTTTTTAAAAAAAAAAACTAAAACATCATTTGTTATCCACCTAAACATAATTCAAACCAATGATAAAATAATATGCAAAATACAAATTGATCAAAAATTTTTAAAACTAATTAATTTTGCATTGAAAGTTGAAAATATATTATAGTTTAAAACAATTCTATATGTAAATGGAGGGAGTATATTTCTTTTGATAAAAAAAGATCTAATTATTTTAAATCATAAGAAATCATTGCATTTGGTAACAAAGAACATGAATTATTTAAGAAAGTTACATAAAAATATATTCTTTGCATATACTCCCTCCATTTTTATATAGATGATGTTATAGAGAAAAAAAAACTGTTTTAAATTAGATGACATTTCCAACTTTCAATGCAAAATTAATTAGTTTTTTTTTAATTTATTTTGACCATTTGTATTCTATATATTGTTTTACTATTGGTTAAATTATATTTAGGTAAATAATAAATGAGTTTAAGTTTAGAAAAATAAAATTAAATGATTCCTATATCTATATACAAAAACCTTAAATATCATCTATTTTCAAACAAGAGGAGTAATATATACGGATACATATTCACACAAACCCGGCCTAACAAAATAAGGCAGAGATGCCCAATGCTATTTAAAAAATATATATATATATATATATTTGTATAGAGAGCTCATTATTAGAGAAAATAAACTTGGTAAAGTCCAAACAATAAACAATTTAGTATGAGTTGAGGTATTTTTTTGAGAAAATATATTAAATAAGGGTCCAAATTATATACTTTTAATGTTACTAAGATTTAAAAGAATCATTTATTATGTGAAAATTTGTTAAAGGGTCCAAATTTTTTTTTTTTGTCGTCCTGGGGCCTTTAAATCGTTGTCCAAGCCTGTTTTTACAGAAAAACTAATACTTAGCAAAAAGTCAATTCAAAACCATCACCATTCAAAAATATTATCTGGAAATTAACTAGGAACACCCTTCATAGTTCATACTAATGCTTCCTGGTACCAAAAATAATTATTTCTGTTAATTTTAATGTAAGAGATTTACAAATAAATTATATATGTATATATATATATATTATAATACATGAGAAAAGTATCAGTTTGTTAAAAATAAATTAAAAAAGTGAAAAACCAATCTAATATCTTTCAAAAGGAACATGCATGTCTTGAATCAACTTTGGTTTCCTTTAGGAAAGTTAGTTATAATTTAAATGATTCTATGAACCACCCTTCGATATATTTTGTTTCAGTGTTTCTGGATGGAGTAATTTTATAGCGAAAACTTACATCGGTGACAGGTACATACAAATAGCGACGATGTTTCCTGCAAACATGATCATTCCAAATAAAAACAAAAATTAAAATTAAAATGAAAGCCATTAAAATTGTTAAAAAAAATATATGTGAACAATCATGTCTAACCTATCACTACCACAATCTGCCGAATAAGGTTCACTTGTGAAAACATCATATTGTGATGATGAGGTTGATAGTAATTGTGAATAAGAAAAAGAAGAAGATGAAACTAGTGAAATGATTTGAGAAGTTGGGGGAGACTGATTGGTTTTTTCACTCGACGGCTGTGAATGTATTTAAAAAAAAAAAAAAACAGACCTATAGGGTTATTTGTATTGTTAAAGCCGTAGTCAAATTTGTTTTGTTATGTCTTTATTGCTTTTTTCTTTTTAGAGGCAGATTTATTACTAAACATTTATGACAGTTTGACCCCCAAAAAAGAGAGGCCGATTTATGTGAACAGTTGGCAATAAGAAAAAATATGTGTCTTTTTTATCTTCTACCGAACGTAAATGTTTTTTTTTTATTAAGAGCAGTGATTAATTAGGAAATCAGTTTAACTTAGAAAAAATAACAAAAACTAGGAAATCAGTTTAGACACAGTGTTAGGAAAGCAGCAGTGCTTATCAAACACAGTGTTAAAAATGAGATGATTTTAAATTAATAATTAAATAATATTTAAGCATTTCTTTTAGAGTTGCTACCATTGAACATGGTCTTTTATATTTTGACTACTGAGACTTGCAAGACGAGCCTTGGCAAATGTTTCAGCATCACTTCGTCCTGGAGGCATATTTATCAGAACAATGCCAGATGCTGGAACAAGAGCTGCGCGAAGAAATAACAACGAGAACATGAACATATTTGAAATACGGTATGTTGTATATCAGCAACGAGAACTAACTGTCTAAAAGGCTAGAGTGTTCAAACAATGCCACTTTTCAACATTAGTCTAGAGTCTAGTTTGTCGTTTTTTCTACTGTTTGATATTTTTTGTTGATTAAATAATTTTAATATTTTAACAGATTTAACGTAATTCTTCTGTTATATATTTAGAGTTTCTATCACGCTGACCCACTTTCTCACTTTTTATTACAAGTTTAGTGACTTTAAAAAATAAGGGGACTTTGACAACTGTTTGTATTTTCGAAAGAGCAAGTTTACCCTCATCTCTAAATTACCTTTGTCCAGTTTTACTGCTTGGGTTAATATGAAGAATAAACTCTCATCTCCATCTCCATCTCCACCTTTTTTTGTTGCCCGGCGTTTTCTGTGTGGTGGTTCTGTTTAGGTAGTAAACTCCAAGGAAATTATCTCTGCTGTTTCTCAGCGAAATTATTTTGTTGCCCGGCTCTTACTAATCGAAAGGAGTACACAAGAGCGCTTTCTCATCCCAACTAATCGAAAGAAATACACCACCGACGATAATCGAAAGAAGTACACCACCGACAATCGGTTTTGGTTGATTGAGTTTTGTGTTCGATGTTTTCGTCGACTTCGTTTTTATCGGAATATCAAGCTTTATTCGTCGACAGCGTTTCTATCACCGATGTGGTCGCTGTATGCGTAACCTTGGATCATAGTTTATGGAATAGAGTTGATGGACAGTTTTGTTGTCTAGCCACTTAAAATTGTGCCGTCCTATAAGTACGTCTCTGCATTTGGTTTTGTTTTTGTAACCTAAAGATGGCAGCCGCTGAAGCCGAAGCCTTTAGGGTACTTCCCACATACATCCGACGACTGAAAATCGCCAATCCAGGTTCCGTTGCTGATATAGGGACCGAAACGTTCGGTGAAGGCAGGGTTAGATTTAAAAATTTGTTTTTGTCTTTTGGAGCAACCTACATTGGTTTCCGGATGATTAGGGATGTCATAGTCTTAAACAAGAGAAAGATGGGTGGCCAGTTTAAACTAGTACTACTAACAGCTTGTGGTGAGGACGCAAATTTCAAGGTATACCCTTTAGCTTTTGGTATAGTACTTATGGAGAACCTGGACTCGTGGTTGTGGTTTCTCAAGAAGCTGGAAGAACTGATTCCTGACACCACTAAGCTTTGCATTGTCTCCCCGTTACGTGGCCCTGTTAGGCAAGCTAAGAAGATGGTATATCCTTTGTCACATGATTGGATCTGTCTTAAACATCTTAGTAGTTATGTTGATTGGCGTTTCGGGAACACCGAACTTGGAGAATTGGTAAGTGCTGCAGGTAAAGCGTATACAAGCTGGCGTTTTACAGAGCTATTCCAACAGATTAATGATTTGAGTAAGCCATGTTGGGAGTACTTAAAAAACCTGGGTGTGAAGCACTGGTGTCGGGCTCATTCCGAGGTGGTGTGTTACGATATGCTGTCAACAACAATGGATGAGCAAGTAGGATTAGATCTATGTGACTTTGTTGGGTTGGATATAATTAAGTTAGTAGAGGGTATTTTGAGTATGATGTGTAGGTGGTATAACTCCAGGAGAACGGAAGCCAATTCCCATATAGGAGTCTTAACGCTTGGTGTTATGCGTCTACTTAGGCTTAACCAGATTGTCAGTACGTACACCGAAATAGTTGACATTACGCATTTGAGTTGTGAGGTCTCTGGTACATTTGGTTGGAGGCATGTTGTTTATTTTTACGAGAAGTCATGTTCATGCAAAATATATGATAAGTTGGGTTTTCCATGTGGCCATGCAATAATGGGGGCGGATAGGCTTGGGATACCTTATGAAACTTTGGTGTCTGAATTTTTCCATACATTTGCTTGGAAAAAATCTTATCGATGTTTTATAAACCCAATCTCCCCGACATCAGAGACTCATTGTAATCCCATAACAGCATTGGAGCCTCCTTTACTTCCTTTAACATGTAGGTATTTGTAATGTTACATGAAATCGTGTCATTGGTATTGTATTTATTGTTGAGAACTTATATCTGTTTTGGTTTCATTGTAGGAACCTATAACTGTGGAGCTAGTGAAGAATAATGGAAGTGGATAACATAAAGGAAGTTTGGATGTGCCTTTCTTTTGTTAAATATTTTATTTCTTGCAATATTACTTAATAACATAATTGTATATTTATGTTCTAAGATTTTTGTTAAAAGTAACGAATATTGTGTTAAGGACAGTATATGATGCACCTAAAAACAACGAATGTCCATCAACGTATGTCCACAATGTTTTGGTAGCAATATAACGGCCCGCGGTGGTTAAGTGACATTTATCCACGGACCGGTGTACAAAATGAAAAGTACATAGAGTTTTAGGGGTGTTCGACAGTATATGATGCACCTAAACACAACGGATGTCCATCAACGTATGTCCACGATATTTGGTAGCGATATAACGGCCGGCGGTGGACAAGTAACACATTATCCACGGCACGTTGTATGAAAGGAAAAGTACATAGGAGTTTTAGTGTGTTGGTCAGGTTTTAAGGTTGAAATTTTTCCACGATTGTTTCTAGTAATATTATAATACGATCGTTGTTTATGTTTTGTTTAAGGAAACATTCTATTGTTTATTGAGTTTATTACATGGACCAACAGCAAATGAGGTATCCATTTTGTTCTTTTTTAAATTAACGTGGATGTGGATGGTTTAATAAACTATTACAGTTGACTAAACCTGTTCTGGGAAAATATTATTAAAGTAAGAGTGTTACTATGAAGAGTACGGTAATTGATTTGTGGTTGTAATCACACCTTTTATCCACTTGCTTGTGATGATTACGTGTCTAAATAACAAGTTAGTTGCAATTAAGTCAAAGGCAATCTGACGGTGAGCAGTAGAACACGTTTCAAGGGTGGTAGATATTGTATTTGCTTTTGGAGAGAAGTGTGCAGACGGAGGAGTTGTCCATAACTAAACCTAGTTTAGTAAGTGTGAGTGGTGGCTCTGAAGAAGTTTGCTAGGGTTCTTAGGTAAGTTTCTGAATTCTGTCTCAAAGTGAGATTTTATTTTTAAAAGAACATCATTCTTTATATTTTAGCATTGTTTACTCACTTAATTGTATTATTATTAATACACCAACTCGACCACCCTGCGATTTTCGTAATTGTTTGTGATTTACATTTTTTTTTGGTGGTCCATGTGCTTTAGGTTGAAATGGGTGAGCATTGTTTGGTCACGTGTGGTCAATGGATTTGTTCTGCTGAAGGGGTTTTCAACTTCGAGATTGACAAGACGAAAATGACGAGGGTAGTTCCCATTAGAGAAGAGATTGGTATTCAGGAGTTGAGCTCAACTATTCTGACAGCTTTCGGACATGTTTTAGATGGCAATACAACTGCTTTTCTAAGTTACTGGCCACCTGATACGACTGCAATGACTACCGGTATCAGGACACCGCCAGTTTATGTGGAAAACGATGGAGGTTTATGGTTTTTCTTCCAGCATCTACGAATAAATATGTCAATGAATTTGTTTGTTAGGTTTGATGAAACCGGTAGGAGTGAGAAGGCAGCTGAGATTTTGGAACTCTCTGGAGGTTTCAGAACACCGGTAATAACTAGCAAGAAAGACGGGTTTGTATCGAAAAGCAATGACTCTGCGTTGCTGTCGAGGAATGGCGAATCTGGTGTAGAAGATAGCGCTGGGGCGTTCGTTAATACTGGTTCAAAGGTGGGCATCAGTGGTGATATACCGGAACAAATAGTAGGAGAACGTTCAGTTCAAAAACCAGTGCATGGAAGAGTCATTCCTATGGTATTGGACTACGAAAGTGAGTTTGGAGATGAGGACCTTTTAACCCATGTTGACTACATGGAGAAGCTATATAGTGACAAAGTGAATAAGATGAAAAGTCCAGAGGAAGTATGGGTTGGTGAAAATGTAACAGTGCATGAGGGTTTGGACGACGAAGATGTTCTACCTGTTAACTATGACATGGATTTTTGGGGTCCGTTAATTGAGGAGGAGAAAGGCGGGACCGACATTGTAGATGTAATTTTAAGTGGAGGGGATAGTGGTACACCTGGTGATGCATCCGTTGATTCTGAAGGGTGGACACGAGCCGATGCTTTTGATCTGTTTAAAGGTGATGATGTCGGAGCAGGAGAGTCCAGTCGGGCGTCACCCCGTGAAGAATGGCCGAGTACACCTGTACCTGACATCAGTGGATCTACACCTGTGGAGGTGCGCACTATGACTGAGATTGACGTGGAGGAGTTTGACATTCCTCCTTTGTTCGATGATACTAAGTATGAGAGTGTTGACATGCCTGACTTAGACTTGTCTGGGGACGACGACCGTCTGTATGTGGGGAAGATTTACGCTAGCAAGGAGGAGTGTAGAATCGGCCTGGCTTTGTATGCTATTAAGCACATTTTCACATTTTATCAGTCGACCACGAAGAAGAATTATTTTGTAGTCAGCTGCACGGATCGGAAATGTGATTGGCGAATTCTCGCGCATGAAGTTAAAGATTGTGGATACTATGAACTCGTGAAGATGAATTTGAAACATATTTGTGCGTTTGAAATGCGTAACAAATTCGGGAAGAAGGCAACTTTTAGAATTATAGCCGCCGTATACAAATCGAAATATGGGAATCAAATGGGCCGAAGGCATTGTCGCTACAGCAGCTGGTATTGGAAGATCTGCGGGTTAATGCGTCATATATGAAATGCCACCGAGCAAAGGAATTTGCGGTTTTGGGAACGAGAGGGGAAGACAGTGATTCATATATGCGGCTTAGTCAGTATTTATATCTGATTAAGCTAGCTAACCCAGGTACTGTAACTGCATTGGAAACAGAGAACGATGATGATATTGTCCGATTCAAGTATTGTTTTCTGGCATTTGGGGCGTCGATACAGGGATTCAGGAAAGTGAGGCGTGTGCTCGTATTGGATGGAACTCATTTGACAGGAAGGTACAAAGGCGTTTTGATGACTTGTTGTGGACAAGATGCGAATTTCCAAGTGTTCCCATTAGCATTTGCTGTTGTTGATAGTGAAAATGATGCTGCGTGGACATGGTTCCTAGGTAATGTAGCTCGTTTGATTGCGGACAGCAAATGCCTAAGTATTATATCTGATCGTTGCCCTTCAATCTATGTTGCAAAGAGGAAAGTATTTCCATTGGCTCATCATGGGTGTTGCATTGTTCACCTGGAGCGAAATGTTGTTTCTAGATTTAAGAGCAAAGGTTTGGCTAAAATGGTTGGTTCAGCGGCATTTTGTTATAAACTTGGAGCTTTCAAGGAGGTTATGAGTACTATCCGTATTAAGAGCCCCGCGTGCGCAAAGTACCTTGATAGTATAGGGTCTGCTCACTGGAGTAGAGCTTATTTTAGCGGGAACCGATATAACCTAATGACTAGCAATGCCTGTGAGCAACTGAACAACGCTCTGAAGAAAGGCAGATCTTCACCAATAGTTGAGTTGTTGCAGTTTATTCAAGCAATGATGAGTAGATGGTTTGAGGCTAGAATAAAGAAAGCAAGGAAGAGGAGAGGTATGGTGAGTATTGAGGTTGACAAAGAGATGTTGGTTAATTTTGCAAATTGCAAAGGGAGTAAGCTTAACAATATATCTAATGTTAGTGTCAAAT